CGGCCGACCCCTGTAAATATGACACCCCGTCTGACACCACGGCAGTAGGTACTTTCGTTGCCTTTTTGAACTCGGCACGGCTTTAATTGCCAAGGCGTGTTTTTTTTGCCCATTCGATACTCAAAGGTGGCATGAACGTACTTACCCCTTTTTTTTTAATTGGACCGCCAGATACAAACGATAGTTACCAAGCTATCCTACGCATTTGTGTGTCATTGATTGCATTCTTGTCATACCCCCCCCACAATAAACCATTGAGGATTAACGAGGGCTAAGTAGAAGGGAGGAAAAGGATCAGAAAAGAAACTTGGAGGTCTGAGGCAGGCTCCTGGTGGGATGTTTAAAGTTTAAACCAGTCATGGAACAGCAGGTGGAATTCTCTCTTGAGCGGCACTTCTGGCCCTCCCTCCCTTGGCCATTTCACCTCTCCCAGGCCTCTCGTCCCAGATCCCCCCAGCCAGTCCGAAGTGAATTGCTTGATAGTTTGTTGTATATCCTTTTTTTGGTGAAAACTACTGTGTATTTTTAATGGTAGACCACAGAGCCGGAATCTCCGTGTGAACAAATTGCACAATTAATTCTCTCATTTCCGGTCCATCTATAAGTACATTCTCTCTCTCCTGGACACAGCGTTTAAACCAGAGTGACCATATGATTGCCTTACGCCCAAGTTCAAAACGATTTCGCTGAAAAGTGGTCAGTTGAGCTCCAGGCGGATCACAGTGTCCCGACAGGATGGTCCTCCAATCCCAGGGCCAATCCAAACTTTTCAGGTTTTTCCAAATACAGTCCCAAAGCCTCCATCACAGCACTGACCCTGGGCATTGCATCAAAACATGCTCAATAGTCTCCCTGATTCGCCTGCTTGGTAAAGCGGGAAAGCAGGCCTTGTACCATGGCGTCACAAGGCCCTTCTGTTCCAACAAAGTACGATCAATGATCCAATCATTAGTGGGTAGACAACAGTGGATAATTTTCCATTGCAGTGAAGCAAACTTAGCTGGCCTTCGCCTGATATTTTTAAACAATTTTAGATGCTTAATTAGACTAACATCGATGTTAAACCACCAGTACTTGGCCCAGCTATCGGTCGCGGTGCTTCCCCGTTAACGCGCCGCGACATTCGGTCTTCGGCCTACCGGACCGCATTGGCTGGAGGCCACAGCCAAAAAGAAAACAAAAATGAGCGACGGCGGTTTGGTAGGGCTTGGCGCGCAGGGTGCTGGGAGGCTCGGCTTCGATAGTTGGGCCAAGTACGGGTGGTTTAAGATGCCTGGCGGCCCCTTGCTCATCGTTCCTTTTTTTTTTTTTTTTTAATCGAAAATGGGGCCCAGTGCCCAAGGCTC